CCAAAATAAATGCATCTTTCAATTACTTCATCACTATCCATTAAATACTCTTTAATGCAATACAATTCTAGATGGTTGGTTACTACTTATTCTATAACATAGACTATTCTAGATGAGGACTCGTTTGTATAACTTAATTACAATAATTAAAAATCCCAAACCAAAATAATAAAATGGCAAATCAATTTTATTTTTTAAAAAAAGAACCATTAGTTGACGATGTTCATTCTCATTATCGTTTGTAGAATGAGTTATAGAGCTTAAATAGCGTTTATGATGAGGACAAACCCCGCAAAAAGTTGAATGAAGTAATCTTCAACCCGAAGACTGACATAAGTGAAGTTCGTTTTCAATTGGGTAAGTTTCGTTTCTTTTTATTTTATGCAGTAGAGTTTTCGACATAGTTTGAATAGAACTTCAAAGGGACGCATTGGTAGAGTATTCAGTAAAAAAATTAAAGGCCAATTTATTACTTGAAGAACGACACACGGTTCCGATGAGGTGTGAAGATCCATATCATTGGAAAATATATGCTGTGGTTTTGAAGGAAAATATCACCTTCAGGGTGAACAAGTTCGAAGAGCTCTCTAGGCGAGCCGAGCCCAGCTCGGCTCCTTTTTTCACGAGTAGCTCTTGAAAAAAACACTAAAAAAATAAAAAATAAAAAAAGCTAAGAAAAGCTAAAAAAAGAATTGACGAGCCATGAGCAGAGCTGGCTCGGCTTGAGAGCTCGTGGGCCGAGCTCATGAGCTTGCCCACAGCAAACGAGCCACGAGCCGGCTTGGCTAGTGAGCTCGTGGCTCGTTTCTCCACGAGCCACGAGTAGAGCCGAGCTCGTGGGTTCAAGGGTTGACATCTCTAAATTATATGACAAATAATAATGAAATATTTAATCAAGTAAAACAATAAAGAAAATAAGAATATGATAGAGGAGTTAAGATATTTTATTGATTCAAGAACAATGGAGAAGAAAGAAAATTACAATGGATCCTATAATTCTATTAATATATTTTCCCACCTTATAAAATTGTATACAAGAGCCTAGTATTTATATGGAATAAGTAGGGATGTCCAAACCCACAGAGTAGAGTTATCGATGAAGTAGGATACCATAAAATTAAGTCCAAAACAAATTCCAGCTCCCAATGGGATTTCAAAATAGAATTTCAACATGACATATGACTCCAATA